AGGAATCTGTGATTCATCAGAGGAAAGTCTACAGCTTCATTCATCTGAGCGTTCAGGAGTTTCTCGCTGCTTTCTATGTGTTTTACCATTATGTAATAATACATATTGATGCATTGCAGTTTTGTGATGTGGTACATCATCTGCATAGAGATGCAGTAGATAAAGCCCTTGAGAGTAAGAATGGTCATCTGGATCTGTTCCTGCGGTTCCTGCTGGGCGTCTCACTGGAGTCCAATCAGAGACTCTTACAGGATCTACTGACACACACAGAGAACAGCTCAGAGAGCATCAGGAGAACCACACAGTACATTAAAGAGAAGATCAAAGATGGACATGGACTCTCCACTGAAAGATCCATCAATCTGTTGCTCTGTCTGCTGGAAGTGAAAGATCAGACTCTGTCCAGAGAGATTCAGGAGTTTGTGAAATCAGACAAACACTCAGAGAAGAAACTCTCTCCTGCTCACTGCTCAACAATCGCCTACATGCTTCAGATGTCGGAGGAGCCGCTGGATGAGCTGGACCTCAAGAAATACAACACATCAGATGAGGGGAGAAGAAGACTGATACTAGCTGTGATCAACTGCAGAAAAGCTCTGTGAGTGTTTAAATGTAACAATAAAGAATCATTTTTAAATTGAATTTTAGTTTTGTTGTGCTGACTAATGCATATTGAGTATCATTTGTAGAATGTCTTTGACTAGAGCTGATATTAGCTGATATTATCAAAATACAAACTGTAGAATTATGATTTTTTTTTTGTTTTACTCCGTTTCAGTCTTGCTGGCTGTAATCTCACTGCTCAGGACTGTGAAGTTGTGTCATCAGCTCTACAATCCTCAAACTCTGTCCTGAGAGAGCTGGATCTGAGTAACAATGACCTGCAGGATTCAGGAGTGAAGCTGCTCTCTGATGGACTGAAGAGTTCAAACTGTCAGCTGGAGATACTGAGGTGTGTAAGAAGGATGATGTATTGTCAGTCGGTCATAATGTTGATATGTGTCGGTAGATGATCTGTCTGTGTGTCTGTGGATGATCTGTCTGTGTGTGTGTAGGTTGTCAGGCTGTATGGTGACAGAGGAAGGCTGTGGTTATTTGTCTTCAGCTCTGAGTTCAAACCCCTCACACCTGAGAGAGCTGGATCTGAGCTACAATCACCCAGGACCATCAGGAGTCCAGCTGCTCAAACACAAACTGGAGGATCCCAACTATAAACTGCAGATACTCAAGTATGTGGGACAGTATTTTATTTAATTTGTTTTTAATATTACACTATATAATAATACTGGTAATGCTGTTTAATATCAGTTGAGCAATATAAAGTCAACAGCTGTCGGTTGTGCATCATGCCTACCAGCATGTTTTTAATGGTATTAATCAATGAACAAAACCGCTCTTTATCTTGCAGAACCAAATCAAGTGTTGCACTTGAGAATAGTTTTTAAGGTAGTTGAAGAAGTTGCAACATTTCTACAATGGATTTAATCTTTAGTCTCAATGGCTTCTGTCTGAATGGTTACATTGTTTGCAAAGGGACTGTTTGGAAATCAAAAACAGATTTTTACAGTTGAGGTTATGAGATAATAGAATAAGAAGACTCATAAAAATTCAATTTTTATTTGTTTAATACTGTCCTAATTGAGTTTACACAAGTGACACAGTTTAAACCTTTACGTATGATATGCTGTGCATTGTTACTTGGATGATCTTGTGTTTTGGAATAATTACTCATGAGTTAAACTGCCCAGTTTTCTTCAGGAAATTTCTCCAGACTCTGCAAATTCTTTAGTTTTTCAATATCATCTGCATTTTTGAACCCTTTCCAACAGTGGCTATAAGATTTTGAGATCTGGCTTTTTGGGTTTAATATACTCTTGCTGTGTTCTGGATCCTATTGGTTTTGATTAGGGATGCGCCGATCCGATATTCATATCGGGTATTGGCTCCGATAGTGCCATTTTTCCCGGATCGGGTATCTGTCAGAGAGAGCCGATCCAAATCCGAGATTTTTTTCTTTTTTTTTTTTTCTTCGATTGTGCGAATTATTCTGTGTTACTTCTGAAGCCATACGATAGCTTACTGTGAGCTACATATGAATATTTAAGTCCTTACATTAAAGTTCACACAAACTCTTTTCTCCGCTGTGGCTTTCAGTTATTCGTTCAGCCTTTAAACCCTGGTCACACAGTCATTCATTCAGCCTTTAAACCCTGGTCGCGTTCGATCTCTCCAAGATCATGTGTTGTTCCCATTATACTTGATTTGTAAATACATTTCTATGATGCAAAAAAGACTTTTATCTTCTTGCCGGAGTTTAATGTTGTTTTGTTACTTGCTACCGGGAGTCTGTGAGAACAAAACACGGGTGTAGAAAATAATATAAATAGTTTTTAACGTGCACAGTAACTGAAGTTTAAAACTGTTAAAAGAAAGGCTCAATA